TGTGAGTGTGCTTGGTTGTCTGTCTCTAAGTGTAGCCCTGTGATAGACTGGTTACCTGTCCAGGTGAACCTGCCTTCACCCTGAGTCAGCTGGAATAGACTCCAGCTTTACTCTGCAACTCCAGTGAGGATTAAGCGGTGTGTAGATGATAGATGAATAGATCTCTGGGTCCAGCAGTCTTTAGATTTTAGGCAGATATTTTTACCAAATTTGAGTTATTTCAGAGTAAAATGAATATATAATGTGAGACACGGTGCCTCAGGGCTCAGGAAGGTCATCCCACTTTCTACGCTTAGTTTATGTTCCACATTAACATTACAGTGAGTGCAGACTCTGTAAAACTGTGGTTCTCAAACTGTGTGGAGAATCACAGAGTGACTGTTACACCCCGACTGACTAGAATCAGCTTCGTGGAGCAAAAACAAGGCGCTATTGGTGAAGATAAAGCAATGTATGGCTTAGTGATGGAATTAAGAAAGCAAAGGTGATAATATAAAGAAAACAGGGCTAGTAGATGTTAAATCAAAGAACCAAATAAAACCAAATAAAGGGTAGCAGATTTAATAAAGATAAACTGTTCACACTGAACCACAGCCACCGGACTGTGAGCTGAGCTGCAGATTTGAACCCCAGGTGTGGCGATCGCTGCACTTCGATTGGGTGGAGGTGGAGGGAACTGGGTGGCGGTCCAATCAGGAACAACAGGAGGTGGGAAGAGGAACGAGGGCTTCAGAGGAGGTCAGCTCCAGGCCAATCAGCCCTGATGGAGGACAGGTGGGCTCTGGAGCTCCTCAGCCGGGCACACACAGAAGTCACCATGACCACCTCCCCAAACAAAGGCCACAAGGGATCCACCACATGAACGAGGCGCCCAGGCATCAGGGGTCGCAACTGCTTTCATGATACGTATTTAAGACTCTTGAAACAGCTCAGAGGGAGAGATGCAGGTGCAGGTGAGGTGAAAAAGTTCAACCATAAAGTGTCGCAACACAACGTCCTGAATGCGTAACTAACAATAATCAGACTGAACCTGATGTCGGTGCTGCTGAGAAGAAGAAAAAACTCTCATGATTCTGTCCACAGTGTAATGATCCTTTTTCTAAC